TCGCAAACAATTTATGGACGATGATGATGCGTAAATCTCGCAAACGCCTAATTTATGGAAATTTGTGCGTGGCCAGTTGACGTTGAGCGTACGGCAGCGAATCTACGAACACAGGAACTTAGCTTGGGTAGACTGCTTAAACTGGAGGGTGGTCAACATGTATAACACCCCGGACGGAAACAAAATTGTTCAGCTGTAGCGCCCTTTCGGTGCCAAGCTGCCATACCACACGAAGGAGGCACAAGGGCCAGGATACTGCCAGGTTGCCCAAACCTAGACAGGGGAGGTCGAGAGGCAGAGGCCGGGTTAGAACCACGAACCTTCCGGTCAGTGGATTCGGGCTCTAACCACCTGGTCCATCTCGCCCCTCCGGATGGGTGGCGCACCTCATTATTGCATTGTAACTACCGAGTAAGAGTTATTTTAACACTATAGGAAACAACCGATATTTTGCGAGTGCAAAATGGTTTACTGATCACTGATGTCCGGCATGTTCATCAGCAAAACGGCTCTTAATCACCTGCGTTATGCCTCTTGTTTTTTTTCTGTCCAGGTCCTATTGACAACTGCTTTCCCTAGAACACAATTTGGCTTTCATCCTGAAGTGAACTAGTTCAGCCGTGAGGTGGAGCACTTCCGTAGTTACGTTTCGTACTGGAATTTTAGTCGCATTCATTGTCGCAGTTTTTGCCGGTCCATGAGGTGGACCCATTCCATATAATACACTACNATTCCATATAAATACACTACTATATATATATATATATATATACCCGGCGTCACAACCAAGTTATACGTGAGCTTCCTACTTTCTACTAATTTCTTATCCACAGCTGGTCGTTCATCGAAGCTTGCAGGGCCAGGCGTCGAAACCGGAATAATCTACTCGAATTTCACGGCTAAAACTACCCGACGAGGTTTACTAGTTGGACATCAACCTTTGGTTGCTCCAGCCCTGGAGATCAATGAAGGATTCACTGAGCTTCGTTTTACCGGTAGTCCTCCGACAAAATTGATCGCCGTGGAAGTATGGGCCGCAGGACCACCAGAAAAGCTGACGGATTTGCGAGCACAAAAAGCATGGGAACTCTCTCAGGTTAGTATAGAATAGTCTACGAGGTGTCTAGTTGGAGAGAAACCAGAAACACTATATTCTTACAGACCTCACAGAGTTCTACTCGTCCTAAATAGTCTACCGTTTTTCTTAATCTTAGTGTCTCCTTTTTCAGACGCACGCAAATAGGCGTGTTTTGATAAGGTCCTTGAGAAGCCTCAGTGTGAAGATAAAAAATTCCGATGAATATCCAGCCTGGAGCGCTGTATACAGCCCTTGGGACATGTTAGATATACTTCTTTCGAGACATCTTAGGATTATATTAAAAACGCCCGACCACCATAATATGGAAAAGCTAGTGATAATTGACGGATGAACAGGATGTGGCAACCATTCTAACACACTGAAATCCCTTGGCTGACACCCAACAGAGATTTAGCTTGACTTAGCTGACTGGTTCTTCTTCCGCCTTAAATCTCTACCAACCTCGGAACCTAATCACTTGGCCTGACGAAGCTTTTGTGGCAAAAGCGAAACGTTGCCCAGCAATAAATCTACCGATTGTGGCAGACTTTGAAACCACTAGATGGGTGTTCCACCTTAGTAACCTAATCACCAATCAACCAGATGTTTGGAACCGATTGAGTTGTCATCGTTTCAGAGGTTCGGCAGATCCACCGATTGTTTAGCGAACCTCAATGAAGGGATGTTCCACCGGAAGTTTACACCAGCTTTTTTTAAGGTGCGTCCCGAAGTGAATTCCACTCGGTTCTCACAAATCGAGAAGTCATAAGTCGTGATGAAGAATCCAGGAAACCTATCGTCGGAATGGATGGAAATTCGCCTGATTTGCCAGCTCTCTTTGTATGGTGAAAATCGTCCCTGCCGTCAGTTTCTTTGCTGCACATTATAAATGGATGATTAGTCCGGTGAATTTCGTATCGACTCCACTCCTCTGATTTGGTATGATTATCTGAAGTTCTTGTGTTTAAGTAACCTGCTGTGCCTCCGTTCTGGTCAGCGCAATTTCTTACAGTGGGCCAGTCGCTGTGAGAATAGCCTGTTGATATTCTCAGTTCCCGAAATAGACACAGTGCGCGACGTTTGATCTTTTCTGACAGCGCAAGGTGTTCCCCACATTTTGTTTTGTGAGAGCACTACGTAAACAACGATATTGATAGAAATATCACAAATATGGCAGTGAATTTGCAACCACTCTGTTCATCGTTCATATGGAGCCGATTGGATGCTGTCGGTGCTACTCGCCTTTCAGGATGGGGACCGCGTAATCCCCACTGTGCCTGGTTGGAGACACTACAAGATATGACTGCCAACCGATGTCAGTGGCGTTCTTGTTGTTAGTTTCTATCCAGATCGCCTGAGTGAGTGTCTGAAGGTATAGGCACCTCGGAATGATTGTGGTAAGTAAGGCTTTCAAATAAGTCATGGTTGTACGGCAGTGAGTCATCGGTGTTGAACACTGATGTCATGCATCAAATTAAACGTTCTCGAAAATTGGAACTCAGTACCTGTACCGTCTCCCTTGTGGGATAACCCAACTCCTGTTCACTCCCAGTGTTATCTCATCAACAGGTCAACAAGGAGAAAAACCGAAAGTTCAAACTGGAAGACGATTGGCGAGAGTCGGCCGATCGACACATCCTCTCTATGGCCGGAGTGAACGTAAACCGTTCGGCATTAGTCGGCGCACCAGAGAAGCCTCCCCAAAACATCCCCAACAAGTAATCGTTCAACCTGCTCTGTGAATTCTCTTCACTGTCGTGAGCTCTGTCCAACTTCTACTTCTGTGATAATCTGACCGAACGCACTTCGTTCGAGACAGCAATCATTCTCACCAGACTACGCAATTTCCTTCTTTATCTATGACTTATCATGCCAGATTATTACTCCGCTCTTGATATTATCAACTTGTTTAGCTTTGAATAGTTATCATACTTTTCTTTCTTCGCCTTATTTTAGCTGAGAATTTCGGTCCCCGTCTTATACCGGTGCTCGGTGTGTCTTAGCCGAATGACGCTGGTGATTATTCATCAGTTCAGCTGTGGCACCCTTTCGGTGCCTAGCTGCCATGCCACACGAAGTAGCCACGAGGGCTGGGATACTGCCAGGTTGCCCAGGCCTAGACAGGGGAAGTCGAGAGGCAGAGGTCGGGTTCGAAGCACGGTCCTTCCGGTCAGTAAATTCGTGCTCCATCTCGCCCTAAGATATCAAAATATGATTCCCTAATGGTTAGTTGATGGGACTAGACTCCGTATTTTAAAAAATCCGTGCCAGGTAAACTTCGAATACAGTTAAGATAAATCCCTGCGCATTTTTGCCTAAATCAATGGTTTGGCACTTCCCCATCATCCGATTTTGGGTTGGTTTTCAGTTATCAGTTCACCTTCGAGTTGGGATATGATTTCCTTCTAAGGCTTACAAAAGAGATTTGTCTCCGAAATTGGAATGTGAGTAGTTCTAAAAACTCAGTCCACTGAGACCTTCGCTCCCGGTGTGGTTACTGTGAGTCTGTTATGTTGATTCACTGGGACAGAATCGAAATCTAGTTCAAGTTCGGTGTTGCTCATGTGGTGTCACCCATGCGTTCATCTCATCTCGTAAAAACAAATGTGCTGCGTAGGTAGATTGATATACCTGAGCGAACGTGGTCCGTAGTGCCAGTAGGGGGCTGCCGGACATAACCCTGCGCATTATGCCCCCACCAGTTCTAGCGCCACTGCAGTGTCATTGGCTATCCATTCACGCACAATTACGCTGTCACGCGGTTCGCAGGGTTGAAATGCGGTTCAACATAGACAAGGACTTGGAAACGTTCTCTACATTAACTTCCGACGTGGAGGCCAGGATTGAAAGGATAGAAAGCAAAACTGCCTACCAAACTTACTAACCAAGCAGCCTGTAGATTACCAATATAGTGGGCAAAATCGGAACGTCATGAAACAAAGACTTAAGAGGCACACAAGAAGTAGATATTCGTCTGGCGTTTTTGTGTTGTGAACAGAAAGGACACCGATTGCCCTTAGTGATTGAATTGGATGAGAAGTCCACTAAACGGGTCTAGCATTGCCTTCATCTACAGCCGGCGTGATTACAGAAGTCAGAAGTCTGAGACAAACAAGTGAGTTTTCCAATGGCAGAATTTCGACGATTGGGTAGGGAGTTTTCTTCAGCTAAATCATGTGGTACCGCGCTTGATCTGCGCGGTATTTCAAAGCCAAACGTTTACACAGTTGGTACTGTAAGGGAATTTTTGCTTCATAATAGGATTGTAACCGATTGTACAACGTTTGTCTTACACGTAACATAGTAGTAACACTTGCTACTATCCTATTCAGCGTTCCACAGGCGAGTCACTGAGCTTTATGACCAAAAACAGCTGATACGAATAAACAAGAGAACGGTTGACATAAACCATTCATTGTTTAGTCCCAAAGCGATCTCCTCTTCAGCTCTTGGGTTATTTTTTAATTGCTCGCTCGACATGACCTCAGTTCACCAGCTGATTGCTTGTCTTTTACACACCAACATGTAGCCAAAACTCCAAATATGCTGTTTGATAACAAATGTACACGTCATAACTCACTAGCATACACAGTGGCTGGGGTCGGACGTGTGAGCTACTTGGCTGTGCGATTTACGTGACCAGCCCACTGATAACTTATCACGATATTCGGAGTGCACCTTTGGATTACCAGACATCGAGCACACAAGGGTAGGTCCGCTTTACGTGTCCAAACCCACATGAGCATGGTGTCATCGAGTGGCTGAAGCAGTACAGTGTCAAGCAAATTACAACCATAGCATTATCCCAAGTATTCCTGTCTTTGGATTGACAGTAGAAGCTGAGCTCGGTCGCGATGTTTGGCTGCACTGATGCGTCTTATATCATCGCAAACGATATCCTACCTGCGTAAATCGCCAATAAATCCAAATACACCGATACAGCGCGCCTTTTCGAAGAAATGTTTTCTCGCGGGGAAAGACATGAATTTGAGTCGCATCTCACTTTTTGTGCAGAATAAAAATAAGACTCTAGGTGTTTCTGTGTGGATATGATCTTTCGAAAAGATCAGATTTAGCAAACCCACGTGAAAACTGCTGTTATCTCATCCGACATCTGGCTGGAGTCGTTTATGTTGCCTGGTATTGTCAAACTTGAAAGGCAGCTGAGCTTGGCTTGGTGGACAGAACGGAAAGGTCTTTGAAAAACAAGTTTCAAAAAGACAACCGAGAAGAATGAAGCGAATTAAAATGATTTGATACTGAACAAATTAAACCAATGAGAAAACAGTGGTGATGATACAAGCAGTTCGGACAAGAATGTCCGGGTGGGGAAGGCTGTATGCACATGGTCCGTAAAGGGCCAGTGAAGTCAGTGACTTGAGACCGTTCACGGTCATTCATATCTGTGCTTCCATGGCCGCACTGTCTGCGGCACCGGCAATTGGGACGATCAGGTTATCTTTGCTCATGAGATTATACTTCAGAACGTAGGTGGTGAAACGCTCACACAAAGCTGTAGCATCCTGTGAATGCAGAAGGAATATGTGGATTTAAGCCTAAACTGTGCAGAAAGCTCACATCGGGGTGTGGTAGATAATTGCCCAGCGATTGTAAGCTTAAACCTTAATAATCAGTACTGATCGTGGGTGGTTTTCCTCAGCACACCAGGTAACGACCGTCAAATTCTTAATCAATCCATGCTACCTAATCACTACTCAAAAGCAGTTCCCTGATTAGTTCGAAAGTGAATGACAAGGATGGCTGTGCTAGAAGTCCTACATTCTTGAGGAAGTTAGTAGTATAGACACACGATACCATTGAAGAAAAGAGTGTACTACTGACCGGCTTCTTTTACAGCACAAACTAGCCGGCGAACCTCGACCTCTCAGAATTGTGCAATGTGAGGATGCACACTGAATGGAACACTAAATCCGCGTCATTTTGCTCGATTCCGATGAGGTGTGTAAATAGTGGACCATCCACAGGTGACGGTCAGGAATAGACTGGACCATACCACGGTGATGACTTGTGTGCCTCCATGAGCTAGTGAATTATACTAGTGTGTATCCTCAGTCTCTTATAACAGGATGGTCAGTGGTTAGAACCCTAACACAGTTCCTGGTTGGGGGGGGGGGGGGGGGGGCAGAACATGTGTAGTGACTTGCTCTCCATAAATGCTAACGTACTGGGATTTTCCGCCACACAATCCTGCCTTACAGGCTTTTGAATTAACGCTTTGGTCAGTGATCCTATTGGCTGTGGCATTGCCCCAACGCGTATACAACCACAATACCTACGATTAACCATACTGCCATGCCACATTGGCCGTCGCATGGTGTTCTCAGTCGGGTCACCTTATTTCTGCATACAACAGAGCGGATATGCGAAGACAGGTCCGTGGCTTTTTCTCTTCTACATACTTTTCCCTTACACTCCCTCATCCCACTACTAGCTCTCTCTTGTAGGTCCATCCGCTAAGACTGACGACCCGGTCAGTCTTGTATCGGTTTTGGCCGCAACAGCCGGCACCGACAGCTTCAGGCATATGAATATTAACCTTCAAGCTTCGACGCTTAGTCTGTCTGACAACCATTAATGCTCGCACTGTGAAGCAAGCAGAATAAAAAGCTGCTCTTGCGTACGCACCAAAGTATGAGTGATGAGCGCTGACATGCTGTGTATGATGATTATGGGGTTTTATAAGGGACATGGACTTCAAAAATAGCCTGAAGGTGGCTCATCAATTCACTCCCAAAATTACCGACTCGAAAGATGGGCGGAACAATTCGAGCTGGCCTCAAGCAACACAACCTCTGGATATATTGCATGCGGGTGAATGGAATATAAACCTCAATAGCCTGTCGAAAGAAATAAAGTGCGAAACATCTGTGCTGAAATGTGAGCCATCAGGACCGGGCGATCTGTATCCCGTCCTCTTCAAAGAAGGCAGAGAATCCCTGGTGACCAATTTAACAAGACTTATTGGCGATATATGGTTTGGTTTAAAATATCGACTTAGGAACAGACTCTAGCCCAGTGGCTTTAAGATGTACGGGTCCGCAACTAGGGTATGGTGCCTTATTAGTGCCTGAGGAGGCACCGTCAACTGCTTTGGAATAGAGCCAATGAATTTCACGGTAAATGTGTATGATACGCCGATGAACAAGTCTTTTCACTTTACTTATTCGGGCGATCGTCAATATAACTCGCAAAATGAAGTGAAAGGAAATGAGCAGGTGACTTACCTCAAACTGATCAAATATTTGCCGATGGTGGAAGTAGGCATGGGAAAATATCCGATAAACACGACGACAGACTGAATCCAATCGATTCACCGAGTTCGCTTTTATACTGACTCTGTACGTTGCAGAATAGCCGCATACTCATCTATCAAACTCAAAACTCACCTGCTTGGGAAATATTTACTACTATTCAGAAGGCAGGCGGCGCCATCCAGAGTATGTCGTGTGTAGTCGATTGCCGAACACTATGGACATGGGGGAAAAGCAACTGGCAACTGACCTCACGTAAGCTACGTGGTTTAATTAGAACATATGTATATTTCAGAGACATGTTCATTGCCATCATCGACAGCATGACATCAATGTTCAACACCGATGCTTCACTGCCCCAAAACCATGATTTATTTGAAAGCCTTATTGTAAAGAAAAGAGTAAAGGTGGACGAGGAAGGGACTTAGTGCTAGTTTACCACAATCATTCCGACATGCCTACACCGCGTCATGCACCCTGGGTAGAAACTGACAACAAGAACGCCGCTTAACAGCTATATCTTGTAGTGTCTCCAACCAGGCAGTGAGGATCACGCGGTCCCCATCTTGGAAGGCGAGTAGCACCGACAGCACCCAAACGTTTCGTAAGCTTTCTCACACTGCCAGGTCAAGGGCCGATCACCTCTCTGCTTCCGCCGCTCCTAGTTGGACATGGAAAACAGCAATCACTTCGGCAAACGATGGTTCGGCATACGCTACACATGTCCCAACCAACGCAACTTCTGGTGCTGGACACGCTCTTCAATGGAAGTTCCCGTTGCACGATCGAAAACTCGCTTTCTAATTGCCTCGTTACGGATACGCCGACACCAAACCACACAAGCTATGGCTCTGAGACAACAATTGTTGAACACCTGAAGACGTCTCAGTTCCGCTGCTCGAACAGGCCAAGTCTCACAGCCACACAACAAAACAGCCCGTACTGTAGCTTGATACACACGTCCCTTCACATTCAGGGATAAACCATTCTGACGCCATAGATGTCTCAAATTAACAAACGCGACCCGAGCCTTGCAGATTCGTGCATTCACCTCATCTGTCACGCTGCAATCGGAACTAATACAACCTCCAAGATATGTAAAACGCTCCACAACTTTCAGTACTCTTCCTGGATTGTAAGTGGCGCGTTCAGTGACTGCATGTCCAGGAGCACCCTGGACACCCTTGTGGGTGCAAAGTGCCTACCAAAGAACGGGATGACTTTGGTAGTTTATCCAAAAAACACCTGTGCCTTCTCCTCTTCGAAGATGAGAACGATGTCGTATTCCAGATCGACAAGGTTTTCTTCACAGGTTATTTGAACACAGGGTTTTGGAGACCTCCCAGAGTCCGTCTCATTGTTTCATCGATCACGAAGTCCAACATGAATGGAGAGAGTGGGCATCCCTGATGGACACCGCTCTGTGTACGGAAGCTTTTGAAGAGCTCGTATTGTTCGTACACACTGATTCAGCTCTGGATAACCGAGTGCTTAAGGCGTGAACAAACTGATCGGTTAGTCTATGGTTCGAACATAACACCGGGATCTCGACTGCTCCTGTGTAGACTTGGGCAACCTGACGGTAACTCAGCCCTCGTGCTTCCTTCAAATGGCATGGTGACTCGGTACCCAAAGGATTTTATAGACTGACGTAATTTGGTACTTCCCAAATATCTCACGAGCTTATCCACTAAAACTGGTCCAAGCGGTTTGAACGCTTCATGTTTGAACGTTTAACGGTTCGAATCATCATCACCAACCATGAATTACAACGGTTCGAATGCTTGAATTAGTAAGCACTAAGTCCCTTGCCCGTCTACCTTTATTCTTTTCTTCACAATAAGGTTTTCAATTAATTCACGATTGTACAGCAGCGAAGCATCGGTGTTGAACATTGATGTCATGCTGTCGATAATGATGATGGTTATGACGGTCCAAGCGAGCCATCAATTCGTCCATAAAGGTTCTTGTGAAAACAGGTGAACATCCTTAGTACAGAGGAGAAGCGGAGATCCGAAAGAGTGAGCGGGAATATTCAGTCCGGCGAGAGGTAAGCATGCTAGATCAATTGTCCCCTAAGGAGAGGCAATTTTAAAATGAGAACACACACTATATTATGCTGTAGGATTCTAGGGGACATTGGAATTTGGAATCGTATCAACAAAATCAAATCGATTCCTTAAACTGTGCAACTGGTGAGTTCAGAAGGCCACTGGGTTGGCTTTTGATGCGATGATCGAGCCATAGAAAGTATTTGTCGCAAATGGAAGCCACTGATGTAGATTAGTCCGACTTAGGGTACGACGATGGCCAAAAATGGGATGCTCCTAATTACAAGAGATATCAGTTCACCATTCTTTACTCCAACCCTGATAACCCAATAAGCTACTGAATGGCTTATTCCCTCCATTTAGTAGGCACAGGCTTGAAATTGAATGAAGTAGGAGGTACTCATTAGGAGAACTAATGGCCCTAACGGCAGGGAAATCTTGCTCAGGAGTCTTGTGAATATACGTCTAATTAACATCTAAGAACATAACCATGCCTAATGAAATAGGCAATGGATATAACTTTTTAAATAAGACAGAGAACGCTGTTTTCTAGAGTTTTATCCAGTTGATGCACGGAACGTGGTATATTTGCATTGCGCTCCATGAAAGTTGTCATATAGCCGTGTTTATTCAGAAAATGTGGTCGCATCATACATGTCGGAGGTCTTTCCTCAAGGACCACAGTCCTTTAACAAGACAGTATTGCCTAGTGTCGTTTACAAAAGTGGACTGGATCTGTCCTTATTGTTTGGATCACCAGATAGAAGATTGAAATTTAGGGTGTCCCTCTTCCCAGCGTCTGTGTCGGCGGACACTTCACCGACTGCACCATATAACAGCTAACGGTAGTTGACTTGACAGGATATATATCTCGTGATGATGATGAGAAAGCTTATCCCATACCACAATTGTACTCCATCACCTTCTCGTATAGGTTTATGCCAGAAATTGCGCTCGTTTCAATACACTCATTAAATAGTCATTGCCAGTTTATGTGGTTAGGTTTCCAGAATTGCCTGCAAGTGTACCAGCGGGCTTCACTTGTTCCATGGTGGTTCCCAAGTTCGTTAAGAAAGTGACACTAGCTGACGTGCAGTCCCATGTTGACCGAACACCTGTTTTCATTAGGATAGTTGACCATCCAGAGAGATATCTACCACTGTGTTTCATGGTTCGAAACCCTCTGCCTCAGCAGTGATCAGCTAAGTTGAAACCAATACAGTCATTCCATACCTCGAGGAGTTAGTTCGTATCGAATGACCTCGTCACGTCACAGAAACCAATAAGCAAACCTTTAATACAGTTTACGCTTCAAGTGGCCAGCGAGTGTCCTTTCGATTCCAAAGCCGAAGTTGAGAAAAGTCGGGGATAAAACCACACGTTGGTTCTGTCCCAGAAACATAAGCACATGCGAACGTATTCCGGTTCGTCTGATGATCGGTTATGGTAAGAAGTTCTAGCGTCACTACCCGACAGCAGTTTCCAGATCTAAAGTTGATCCGCTTTGAAGCATCATTAGTGCTCACCAAGCAACCTGTTTCCACAACCGATTGCAAACTATAGTAGTTTACCAGAGCACTACCAGCATGAACACACTCACCCATAACTTCGGAATTAGCAAGGAATATAGGGTAAACAAACCCACCGATGTCCCCTTGAGATGTGATTTCGACCCCAATAGACTGTGTTTACCGTTCAGTGTCCAGTTCAGGGGTATGTCCTTATTTCTTATGGGAGTCCAAAAGAAGAGCCAATGAAAAATTTATGGTTGTTCATCGTTGCGGGGTTTTACTGTAAA